TAGCAGTGTCCACATAAATATTAGACACGGCACCAGAATGTTGGAAAGGTCTGGTGTTAAAATCCTGTGAACCACCAAATTGAATCTCCTTCAAGAACTTTACGCACTCCTGAAAATTTGCATTATGATTATAAGGCGGTTATATTCATGATTCTGATATTCTTGTTTCTAAACTTTATAGTAGGGCCACATTACCTCAAAGAAAGTATCCTTATACGTATTCAAATTATTAGTCAACCACTTCTCAAGGTCTATAAGCTCTTTTTTAGAAGCAAGGGCTGCTAATCTGATACTTAAAGAGGAAGGGATCATCTCCAGGACAGATGACAGAATCTACAAAACAAATAAGACATACCAGAATAAATGGAAATTCCATTAAAATTAGGCAAAACAGACCCCGATAGACACTACATAACTATATTACTTCTTAATAACGCGAACACAAGTGCAACAGACAACTGGTGAGGAGTCCACAAGTAGCTTACCTTTAGCTCTTGACAGATATCCAATATTCTAGCTATGCTATCTGGATCACAATTGTGAGCATCCACAAATCCCCGCAGCACCAGTGAGGTGTTAATATGCCAAAGGTGGTTAATCATGCCAATGCCCATGGCATTTTTTACCATCATGGGGAAAACAGTAAAAGACACTTCATATTGCAGCAGGTTATAAGCAGTCTGCAATTTCAAATGTAAATTAATACAACAAAAGCTCTAGGAGAAACCAGTGGTTTAGAACAACAAGGCACGAAAAAATTTCAGAGTGGTACATTTGTATGCGCCATCCCAAGAAGCAGGACTTCAGGACAGTGTTTAAGAGGATACTCAAGCATCGATCGAACAGCAAGAGCATGACCCCTCTCAGCTAGTAGACACAGTACATCCAAAAGGTCAAGACTCAACCATGCATGATTTGCATGTCCAAGTTCAAGCTTATGGCCATGCACTGCATCAATATAGGCCTGAAAGGATGATAGATAATTCATAAAGGTCAAACAAATATAACATAAGGGAACAGAGAAAATGTATATGCTGGATAACTATTGGTTCATACCAGCTGCCTAACAGAGTGGGCAAAGGTAAACACTTCAGGTGGTGCTGACACAGCATGTTTAAGGAAGGATAGCTGACCCTCGGTGTTCTTCCAAACAGACCCACAGATAACATGGAGGGGGAACGGCTCCTGCACAGCTCAAGTTCGGTGACCACAGATTAATAGACGGAAACATCACAATTTGCAAATTACTGATCTTAAAAAATGCAAGAACGCACCCATACCTGACACACATGCTGATATACAGACATGAAAAAAGAGAATGCGTCCTGATTAGGAATGAAGAATCCCTCATGATCCAAATTTTCAATAACTTGTATCCAGTTAGTACCGGGAGCCTGTGATAAGCATACTATACTATATTAGAATAGAAAAGGGTTGCAGCTTCCTTCACTAGGTCACAAGACTCAAACCCAAAGATGAAAAGGAAAAGAAAAAGCACACTAACTGTAAGAATAGAAGTAAACTTACAAGTTGCTTGATTGTATCTACAAGGACATCAATATTCCAGGTGTTCAACATAGGCAGATCAGATAGAGTGCTGTTACCAACCGCCAACCGGAATGTTGAAAATGCATTCTGATTGTCCTCGAGACCAACATGAGTAGAGGCAATCATGCCAAGTATTTTTGAAATAGTAATCTCAGTGAGTGGTAAGAAAAGAGATAAAATCTCTTTGCACTGAGATGAATCAACTGTGCATCCATAACCTAATTCCTTCATTACATCTCCCATGCTGATTTCTTTCGCCATTTCAGCTAAAATAGCATCAAAATCATTTTCTCCGCTTTCATGCAACAAACCCACATTGCTGCAGAGAGTATAAATGCTACTGAGTACAGGATGCATCTGGCATGACAAACGGATAGGAAAAAAAAAAGTAACAGAAAGACAATCAGAAAAATTACTGCACCTCAAAAAATTGGCATCACGGAGCTCATCTGAAAGCAATGGAGTTAAAACAGAAAAACTGTCATCTTTCGGCTGCAGTAAAGATAACATCTGCATAAAGGAATCCACATGCTTGGAACGGCCCTCAGACCGCTGGAGGAATATAACAATGTTCTGAATTTGCTCAGACGAATTCATAGCAATAGGACTTTCACACAATTTCTGGATCTGATCCATACAGAAGTTCTTGCCTGAAATCAAAAAGTAATCAGTTCTGTGTTGAAATAGGCAGCAAATGAAAAGATACTGGCAGTGGAACAGAAATTTGTGGAGAAAAAATATATTATAAATCATACAGTACATCGTTCATCCAAGACTTACCACATATCCTGGTGTCTAGGTCTTCGGAATCTGACAGCGCAAGAGCAATGCTAATTTTCTCCGATACAGACAGGAGTAATGCATTAGAGAAATTCTCAAGAATTCCTTCATTAATCTCTATATTTCTTAGGCACTCACAAAACACCGTACTGAAATTAGGTTTGTCAAGGAGATATTTGAAAATTGAGGCAAGAACTCGTTCCAATGCTGCGCTCTTTAAGTCTGTTCTGTAATTAGTGAGATGATCCAGACAGGTCTGTAGCAGCAAAATGCTTCCCTCAAGTCCATGTTCAGTAAACTGCCATGAAATCACAGACTATATCAGCAGGAGATCCAGTGAGGACTCATGATTGATAAACTGCAAAAAAACTTTCATTCCAGCCTACTTGTTTATCAGCAACATTAGAAATATTGAAACCTAGAAATAGATCTAGTGAATAACTCGGGATTTCAGCATTTACTCAAATTTTTAACCTTCACACCCAGCTTAAAAATAAGAGTAAACTGTAGCAATGGTCCCTTAACTTTAACTCAATTGGAGCAATGGTTCGTCAACTAAAAATCCATTACCATTGGTCCCTCAACTCATCAAAACGTGCAGCTATGGTCCCTTAACTAAAAATCCATTACCATTGGTCCCCCAACTTTAATTTAACTAGAGAAATGATCCCTCAACTTTAACCCAATTATAATAATGGTCCTTCCAACATTACTCATTTTGACAAAATTCTGACGAAGTAAACGAAAATGACCATAGCTACACATTTTGATGAGTTGAGGGACTCCAAATGTAGCAATGGTCTATCCAACATAACTCATTTTGACAAAATTCTGACGAAGTTGACAAAAAGGACCATAGCTATACATTCTGATGAGTTGAGGAACCAATGGTAATGGATTTTTAGTTGAGAGATCATTGCTCCAATTTGATTAAAGTTAAGGGACCACTGTTACAATTTACTCTAAAAATACACTAACTTTATAGTGGCCAAGTGTAAGAGCTACAGATCATGCAGGCTACTTCAAAAACAAAGCAAAGAGATCTCAAGCGTAACTAGTAATTACTAATCTAGTGTGTGCTTTCAACCATTCTCTTAACGACAAAAATAAATATCTTCTACCAAGAAAAAACAATGTTCAAATTTCATATATTAAAGCTGTTAGCTGAAGACATTGCCTTAAAATTGCCATCCACAACCCAATACATAGTCGAGAAATGAATGAGTACGATAATTTGTCATGTAAATCCAATCCGCAATTATTCTACAAATAGAAAACAAAAAAAGATATCAACTTTCACACGTTCCCCTTTTCCTAACCTTCCCCACTTCTAATCCAATTCGTCATGGTCCGGAAACCACTTCTAATTCAATTCGTCATGGTACAGAATCCCCACTCAATATACACACTTCTACACAAAATTTACAGCTGGACTTGCAATGAGTAGTAGAAATTTTCTAGCACAAACCGATGGGACAGCTAAGTGGCACTGAGAAACGCCAGCTGCCCCATCAATTTGTAAACCAAATTTTGCTCAAATTTACAAGACGGAGAAAAAACAACACATGGGTTGCTTCAGTTTCCACAATACTTTCAACCATAATACAGAGACCCAACCTACGGGCCTTCAATAATATCAAACACTTCACTAAGTGATCCAAAATTAAACAAAAAGAGACAAATTTCAATCATGTTTTCCTCCTTTTCTACTCCTATTAGTCACTAAACTCCAGAAATGCAATTAAAGTTCGTCTTAATTCACCAAAATCCCCAAAAAATTACAGAAAAATCGGCTTCGAATTTAGCACGCAAACAAGGCGAATCAAACCCAAAAGGGAAAACAGAGGGGGAGTACCTGAGAGAGCTCTCGGAGAACGGAGTCCGAGTTGGCATCGTTGAGGCTCTGGAGTAGGAAGCGAATCTGGCTCGCGGTGGTCGGCGTAAAATTGAGCATCGCGACGACGGAAGCTAGGGTTTGCTCAGAGAGAGAAGATTACGAAGAAGAAGGGCAGTTTGGTGAATTCGGAGAAATGGTCGACAGGAGAGAGAAGCGAGAGAGTCGAGAAAAAGGGTGAGACTAGTTGGTTTGGTGGCGTCTGATCTGAAATCTGAGTGCGGATTAATATAGTGGTACGATCACCTGCGGGTTATTTTTCATTCGACTGGTGCTACCTTCTGGTGGGCCCACGTGGGTTGGGAAATAAAATATAAAGTAATAGTGAACAGAAACATACAATATAGAGTTTTGGAGGAAAAAATAAGGTGCAGTTTGGGTGCGTTTGGTACGCAGACGGGACAGGACGGGACGGGACGGAACGAAAGTGTAATTTTTGAAAAAGACATGGGGTATATTTGTCTTAAAATGGTTAAACATTGTGTTCCACAGACGTGGAACAAACCCGTTCCAGGGGGGAGGTGGAACGCAAAAACACCCAAAATCTGTCCCGTGGAACAGCCCGTTCCACCCATTTTTGGCGCACCAAACGCGGGACGGAACGCCTCGTCCCGTTCCGTCCCGTCCCGTCCCACGTACCAAACGCACCCGATTGAGGTGATTAAAAAAAAAAAATTGGTATGAAAAACAGCTGGGAGGGTTTTGGTGTTTGGTAACATTTTAAAAATAGCTTTCTTTCAAAGTTTGGGGTGAAAAGAAGCTCAAAACCTGAAGCAGCTTCCAAAAATAGCTTATTTTTTAAAACACGGGTAAACAGTGGTGCGTTTAATGAATTTTTCAATAACCCAAAATTGCCCTCCTTTCCCTCTTGCCTTTAGCTCTCGAATACCCGAACCCCAAACCACTATTTCGTTCTCTCATTCTCTCGTTCCAAAAACCAGTGATCTCTCTCATTCTCTCGTTCTCTCATTCTCTCGTTCTCTCGTTCTCTCGTTCTCTCGTTCTCCAAGTTTCTCCAAGTTCCCTTGGTAAGCTTCTCTTATAAAAATTTGTTATTTATTTGTTTGGATTTTTCAATTTGGGGATGGGTGTCAAGAAAAACAACTGGGGATAAAAGAGTGGGAAGAGCAAAGTGATGAGGGTATGGGTGTCTGGAAAAACAACTGGGGATGGAGGGTGGGGAAACAATTAATTGGGGAAGGTGATATGGTTGGTGGAAAAAATTAATTGGGAAAAAATTAATTGGGGAAAAAATTAGTGTTTGTGGAGGAAACAAGAAAAATTGAGAGAGAAGTTTGATTACTTCTCTATTCAATTTTTTAGAAGGTCTACTTCTGATTTGGGTTTAGGTAAGGGATAATTTCTTATAAAGCTTTGCTCTGCTTCTGATTTGGCTTCATGTTTTCAGCCTATGGAGTTTTCAATCCCTGCGCTCCTCTCTTTTCCCTTTGAAAATCATAGTTTCATTTCAATCATCTTCACCCAAACGCTTATTGCCCCTCACTGCAACTCCTTTAAGATCTCTATCTCTGAGCAGTTCGTCTCCAATCCAACCAATCGCGCGCGTTCGCACTCCCTCTCAAACCTGTGAGATTTCTCTCTCGTTTTCTCCATCGCTTTACGCTGATTTTTTTAGTTGATTCTCTGTAATTCGTTTGTTAATTGTTGAATTGGTTGTTGATTATATTTTTTTTTTTGCATGTTTGTTTTCTGAGAAATTGATGAAATTAGGATGGAAATTGGAAAGTCATTTATTTGGTCAAAATAGTTGAAAATTCACATTTACTTTTGTATATTTGGGTCGTTTGGTGAATTGGGTTGTGTTTGTTTTGCTGTTTTGGGTCTTGATATGTTAGCAGAATTGGAAAATTATATGTTTGTATTGACATTGAATTTGCATGTTGCTACTTCAGTTGACTGGTTTGATCAATTCCCTGCTGATACTTTTTTGTTGTTGTTGTATTGCCTCACTTGCTATACTTCCTTTGTTTTTTACATGCTGCATACTTCAATTGACTGGTTTTAATCAAAACTATGTTGCTTATTCCTCGATTTAAATTGATTAAATGGAGATTGACTGGAAAATTTAGACTGCATTGTACACATTGTTTCGGGTATTTTTAGCAAATTCAGTATATTTTCTTGGAGTTTGTCATTCACATAAGATGCTTCATTCAAGAAAATTGGAATTTCCCAAATCTTCATTAGTCGTTGTTTCCTTTGCATAACTTTAATAAATAAGGATTTGATTTTCTTGGATGTCTACTTTTGAGTTGAAATTTTCCATATATGAAGCATTACTAGACCAAAAACAGCACCATGTCGTGAAGAAATTAGGGTTGTTTCCTTTTTGAGGATTTAAGAATTGCTAATTTATTTTTGTATGCTATCTTTTGATGTTAGTATTTTTTTAGCTGTTATAACCTTATGTTTCTTCATTCTTATTTTGTGGTGATGGAAACCTACTTTTCATGTTGAGACTTGAGATATTAATGCGTCTTCAATTGCTTAGTTTCTTGCTTATCCTTGTGAATTTGCATTTGGTTTTGATATCTTACAGAAGCATAAATAGGCTTTTTGGTAATTAGGAAAAGTTATCAGTAATAGTCGGTGAAATCCTAAAACTGGGTCATTTTATGAGATGTCTAAAGTATTTCTTCATTAGTATTGACGTAGGTTAGTTTGAAGGATACAATAATGCTATTTTGTTGGTTATTGTTAAAATTAGTACTTTTTCTGGGACTACAAAATTTGTAATGAAATTTTTTGGTTATTTCTTGGTTATATTACAATATCATTTGTTCTTGTTTTAATATATATATATATATATATATGTATATGTATATATACAAATCAGTAGTTAGTATCGATGGCAAAAAAGGAGGCATCTTCGTCAAATCCTGTAGCTACATGGAATGCCCACAATACATCTATATTTTGTGATGATTGCATCAAGGAGGTTGAGGCCGGACATCGTCCGAGCACTCACTTTGACAAAGATGGATATGCAAATATTAAAGCTAACTTCAAGGCAGAGACAGGGCATGATTATAAAAGAAAGCAACTGAAAAATAAGTGGGATGCACTTAAAAATGAGTGGAAGTTGTGGAAAGAGCTAGTTGGTAAAGAAACCGGCCTAGGGTGGAATTCAAGCAAAGGTACCGTTGATGCCTCTGAGGAGTGGTGGAATAATAAAATTCAGGTTTGTGTATTTATCTTTTAATATGTATTATGATATCATGCAATATGTATTAACCATATTCTTTCTTACTTGTAGATGAACAAAGAATATGGAAAATTGCAAAAAAAAAGGCATTAGTCCTGAGATGGAAGACAAGTTAGATATGATGTTCTCGAGTACAGTTGCTACCGGTGAACCTACCTGGGCACCTTCATCTAGAGTACTATCACCAGAGTCAAGAGAGGAATCTGTATAACAAATTGATTCATATGATGAGGAAGAAACTGAGACTATGCAAGATCTAAGGCAAGCAAGTAGGAAGGGAAAAAAAGAGCGGCTAACCAAGGAGAATTGCGAAAGAAGAAGGTTGATAAGAAAGGGAAAAAATTAGAGGTGTTGCAAAACTTTGTGGTCAAATTGACCGTCTTGTTAAAGCGTATGAAACTAGGAGTTCTACAAACTCATTGATGAGGTCGCTGCATATAGGTAGTAGTATTTCGGAAGTGTTAGCGGTTGTTGCACAATTGCTTGGTTGTGAGCCACCTAGCGAGTTATGGTTGTTTGCTACATGTTTATTTTATTTTGCAAAGAAGCGAGAGGTGTTTACCATGATCCAAGATCCTGAAGTCCAATTGACTTGGTTGAAATATATGTTCAACAAAGAACAATAAGAAGCTATAACTATGAATTAGGACTTTGTGTGGTTTGTACTTTGCATTAAGACTATATGTTGAATGTTGCTTGTATTTTGTGTTTATTGAATGTTGGATTATAATTTCTTGTTAAACATTGGATTGACTTGTTTTTGAATGTCGGATTATGACTTCTTAGTGATTGTTGGATTATGACTTGTGAAATGTTGAATTATGTGTTATGTTACAAGTATATTCAATATGAACACCTTTGATGTTGAGGAGTTGGAGGATGGTCTAATTATATGCGCTGTAGCGAGAGCTGTTGAAACATATTATTTAAAATATGTCCACAAAACTCCATGTATGAATTCTTTCCATACAGGTAATATTTGGTTGATGGAAGTACTACAAGGAAATGATGTGCGATGCTATAGAATGTTTAGGATGAACAAATATGTCTTTTATAGATTATCCAATGACTTGCAAACTAATTATGGATTGAAAGGTACAAGGAGAATGAATGCAACTAAAATATTAGGAATGTTCTTGCATATGTTGGGACATGGTGTGAAAAATAGATTAGCTCAAGAGAGATTTCAACATTCTAGTGAGACTATTAGTAGATATTTTGGTGTTATGTTGGATATCGTATGTAAGATGGTAATAGATATTATCAAATCGATGGATTCAGAGTTTCGTGGCATTCCCCAAGAAATAAGGAGAGATACAAGATACATGCCTTATTTTAAGGTAAAGTTTGAGTCGTCTTCTAACTTATTTGCAAACTATAAGTGTAGGTTAATAGTTTTCTTCTATGTTATTATTTTTAGGATTGTATTGGTGCCATAGATGGAGTGCATGTTGAGGCTTCAATACCACATCCGGATCAAGTTCCATACATTGGTAGGAAAGGAATACCAACTTAAAATGTTATGGTTGCATGTAATTTTGACATGCAATTCACATTTGCTTGTGCCGGATGGGAAGGCACTGCACATGATACAAGGGTTTTTCTATCCGTGCTACAGAATCCAAATTTAAACTTATCTAAGCCTCCAAATGGTAATCTTCATACTTTTATTATAACATTTTACATACTTGCTTTGTATAATTATTACAATACAAAACAAAATTTTCAATTGTCAGGAAAACATTACTTGGTAGATGCGGAATGCCAGCAAATGAGAGGTTAATTGGGACCATGTAAAGGTGAAAGATATCATCTCCCAGACTTTCGTAGGGGTGCCGAACCAATGGGTCATAAAGAGGTATTCAACCACAAACATTCTTCTCTTAGGAGCATCATCGAATGAACTTTTGGGGTATGGAAGAAAATATGAGCAATTTTAAGGGATATGCCTAATTACCCGTTCAATAAGCAAGTGAAGATTGTCATTGCTACAATGGCTCTTCATAACTACGTACAGAGGTATTCTGAACGTGATCGTCATTTTGATGACCTTAGGGACTTTTGTGAAAAGAGTGATAGTAGTGATGATGATGATGATAAATATCAAAATTATCAAGTTGAAGGATCACATGAGATAGATGCATTAAAAAATAAAATAGCAACAAGTTTGATGAATGCATCTAATTAGACTACTTTCAAGTACATTAACAATATTGTACTAATGAATCCTAGCTATTCAGTCTAAAATATTTCAATTGAAGTAGTTTTTCATACTAATTAATATTTAAGATAAAGTTTATAAATAATTTTCTTCTAAAAATAAAGTATATTTAGTAATTCACTTTTATTTGTTAAGAAAATTAAATTAATAGCACATCTAGTATTATACCCTTTTTTTTATCATTTAACACAGTCACAGCTGTTTTACATAAAAGTTTATCAAACACTATCATACTGGTTTTTTTTTTTTTTCTAAAAGCACTTTTACAAAAAAGTTTACCAAACACTCTGCTAATTTATTTCACAGCAGCTTATTCTCACAGCACAGCAGCTCTTTTTCAAAGCACAGCAATACCAAACCAGCCCTAAGTGTCTTCCATTATTATTAGACTCCTTTGTATAGAATACGTGTAACTTGGAGGAGAAACTCATGAACATAAATATTCACAATACTCTTCTTAGGGTGATTGTGCGCTAATGAAGTTATGTCCATCGTTAATGATAGTTGCCTCAATAAAACTTTGCTTGGAAAATTCAATGGGACAAAACCAAAGCAAAGGAGAAAAATCTAGCACAATTTAAGAAAATTGAACTTGAGTAGATCTTGATCCTAGGAAGTGCAGGAGTTGACAATAGTTTTTTATATTCTTTAGGTTTTAGGATCTTCATTCAAAATCTTTGATAAAGAATTTCATGGTATTTTCATGCTCTAAGAAATTGCTTTCAGAGATAAAATCTCAAAATGGTTAGTATGCAATTTCCGCATGCCATAAGTTTCACGTCTAAAGTAAAATTGTACTTATAGAAATGTGGATGTATCTACAATGAGAATATATTACGAAGTCTTATGCCATCTTTTGTGATTTTATTTCACTTCCTCAAACACTCAAAAATAACCTTGGGGGGGGTTTAAACTATGAGTTCACTAATTTCAGTTACTCAAAAATAGAATTGCCTCTTTATGATTTGGCCAACCTTTTACTTTGTCAACATTAATAGTAAAACGTGATTAAATCACTCTTGATGCTATGAGTAGCTATTGTAGTAAAAATTATCGATTATCATCAATTTTTTATCCATTCGTATGCGCATGCACACTTAATTTATAAATATTTCATTGCTTGGTACAATGCATCTTTGAGGCTTCCATTGGCACATCTAGAACAAGCATCTTAAGATGAATTATTTAGAGAATTGGATCATAACCTCCTATGGAGCGTCATTTAGATCGGGCTTGACATCTTTAATCTCCACATTCGGGGATTTCAAAGTTTGGAACCTAATATCTTTCATGTCTCAAGCATGTAACAGATTAACAGATCTCATTTATAAGATAAGAACAGATATACCCACTGATTCGCGACGTTTTTGAAGCTATCATTTCTCCCCTTAACGTCGTAAGTATTATCTCACCAAAGTGACAGTGCACAAAACTGTGGTAACTATGAGCACAACTTAAAACAAATTGACTTGAATCCCAATTTTAATGGATGAAAATTATCTTTGTCTGCACAATTCCGTATTGTTGGAAAATATATCTCAACTGAGCTGATCATAATGATGCACGTAATCAAGATGCATCTCCCAAGCAAAAATTAGCAAATAATAAAATGCACTACAAGAAAAAGGCTCATTTGCGGCATATTTTTTGCAATGAAACTAGCGGTCGTCGCAAATATTTGTAATTTTCGCATAAGGTGTTGGCGCTAAAGTATATGCATCATAAATATAATAACGTCGCAACAAGCATCGCAAATTTAGTAAAATATGAGTTTTATGCGACACCTTGAAATTACAAGCGTCACATTCGCCAATCACTTTTTTCCAAAAAAGTCGCTCCTTTTATTTTTTGTTTCCCTCTCCCTCTTGGTTTCCTTCTCTCCCTCTGTAAACATTTCTCATTTCAGTTACCATCACACATCTCCATTAAAATCCAAACCACAATTCCTACATTTGTCCCCCAAATTTTCCAAGAAAAGAAAAATAAAACAAAACCCACTTTTTCTCAGGAAAATTCTCCAATTGCAAACGACTGCTATTGTAGCAAAAAAATCCATACATCATATAGAAAATTGGCTTTCCTTGAATTGATCTCTTAGGTTTATCTCTGATTCCTTCATCTTCCCATCTCACAACTCTCACAATTGTACACTTCAATTCAGCCCTAAATCTGTTTGTAATCCACAATCAATTAAGCTTTCAAAATGAGGCAATTCAACACAATTTTGGTCAAGGTAAGCAATTGATTTTTTCTATTGGGTATTTTTGTGATGCTTTGAGTTATTTTTAATACTCAATTTTGTTAGATAAGTTTTCTGATAGGGTAAATTAGTTTCTATGACTACTTGTTAATTTATTAGCTCTAAATGAAATGAATTTTCATATGACATTTCTAATTTAGATGAGGAGTCATTTCTAAACACATATGAATCATATTTGAATATCAACAATCGTTAGTACCATTTGTAATCCCATATGAGTTATAGTTCAAATTCATTTGTAATCCTATTTTAGATCTCATATTCAGTATTCATAAATTTCTAATTTCTAATTTATATGAATTTGCATTATAACTCATAAGGCACCTCCGGTTGTTTGAAAACATTCCTAAGACTCAGAAACTCACCCTTCTGCTTGGTTGGCGATGCTCTGCAACAAAATTGATGCGTTCTGTTCCTCTACTACAATGTTACATTGTTGTTGAGTTTGGCTTTTGTTTTAAACAACTAGCCCAAAACGATGTCGTTTTGGTCTTGACTAAAAGACAATTTAAAAGAGGGGACGTCGTTTAGTTTTAGATTAATTGGGCTATTCTAATTAGTGCATTAATTTAACATTTCTTTTTATAATTTTCTTGAATGGGCATTAGTTTGTTATTTGGAAAATGTTGCACTATCCTTGTTGTGGTAATTACCTCAGCGTTTGCTTAAGCATGTTATGATGTTCAGTTCTTTGCATAATAACTTAGTACCTCCAAGTAAGGCATTAGGTTTGAACAAGGTGATATGTTCAGAAACTTAAGTGAGAAAAAGTAGTTATTTAGATGAACTAAGTCATGAAGCAGAGCATTTGAACTTCAAGTTTTAAATATTTATGCCCTTATTTAAGTAAAAAAAATCTAGCAGCTAAGTTTGTTTTGAATGCAACCTTTTACCTTTTTTTCTCAACTCCAAATCAAATGAAATCATGACATGATGAAGTTTTACTTGTGTAGCTATCAATTGGAAAGTTGTACAATATTTTGAATCAAACTGAAATTTTAACGAATTTCTAAATATGAAGTTTTATAGCCAAAATATTATGACAAAATTAACATGTATTGCAAAATCTTATATTGAGCTTCTATCTTTAAGATTGACACCAAGTTTGAATCAAGCTGCACAAATATTCGATATGTTTCGGTTTTATTGTTTTATAAACAGATAAGTACTTTGATTATTAGGGAACAAAAATGAAATTTATATGCTATGTATAGGAGTGTGTTCTTTTTATTTATTTATTTTTAAACTAGAAACTACATTCCTAAATGCGCATACACTT